GTTTGAGTCCCAGATTCAACGTCTTAAAACACATACTAGGCACATGTGTGTGTGTGCCCAAAATCCCAAGATAAGAGTGGAGGAGAAGGAACTGAGATGCGGTCAGCCCCCTGTGGGGGTGATTTCTCACTTTCTCTCCGTCTCTAGCAAGTGCATGCACCCTATAGCAAAAAATTAAAAAAAGAAAATGAAAAACCACCCCCAAGGGGACCAGCAGATGGCATAATGGTTACATTGCTGGACTCCCATGTAGCTGACCGTGGTTTGAGCCCTGGACTCGGCAGCTTAAACTCATGTTGGGCATGTGTGTGTGCATGTGAGCCCAAAATCCCAAGAGGAGAATGGAGGAGGAGGTAGGGTGTGTTGGCCATGCCCCTGGGGGGTGATTTCTCACTGTCTCTCTGTTTCTGTCTCTCTAGGCAGGCATACATGCCCTATAGCAAAAATCTCAAAAAGAAACAAACAAAAAGCACCTCCAAACACAGGCAATAAATACCTGATGGTCTCAGCTGCAGTAGGATGTGCTGGATGCTGCTGCTAAACAGGCTGAGGCCACGTGGGAGGCCCAGATTCAATTCTGGGCCCACCCCAATAGCAGAGTATAGTGGTACACACCTGCAGTCCCAGCAACTGCAGATGCTGAAGCAGGAGAATGGCAACACAGTGAGAACCTCATCTTAAAAAAAAATAAAACAAAAACCTGACTGGCTTGACCCTGAGCCCACAATCCCAGAGGGCCTTATTCTCTACTGGAGATGATTTACTTTCCCTCTAAGTATTAAAAATAGAACCTTGCAGTCTTGACTGAAGGGCATTTATGACTAAAAATTGGTACATTTCTTAACAATACACGTTTCTCCTAAGAAATAACTGAAACATCTGACCTTTAAAATTTCACAACTGTCAACTTTTTCCTAAGTGATATTACCACTGAAGTCTTAAGCAATGAAATATCTTCTTAGGAAATGATGACATATGACATAATTAAAAGCATACATGCCCCACTGCACAAGAAGAACTCTTATCCTACAAAAATTCTGTTTTTGCCATGGAAAGATGTTAATTTAGAGACTATCTGGAATTGTGGCAAGCATGAACAAGAACATGCTGTCCGATTTGAAGAGTTTCATCCTAAGAGAATATTAAATGAGACTCAGATGATGATGAAATATATAATCTATATGTTCCTGTGGATGTAATAATACTGACTAGTTGAATCTTTGAAACTTAGCATGTTTTCCCTGGTAAGTCATATTTTATACAATCCCACGTTGTCTAAACACTTCATGCTCAAAGTTGAATTTTCCCTTATTGAACAATTAGCTTCTAATGGTCCAAAGAGCAAAACAAAACAAAAAACTTGAACCAATTATTCACACTCCCCAGGTCCCTCATCTCTTCACAGAGCTTTTCCCGACTGTGTAGTATATAAGTGAACCTCCACGAACGTTTCTGGTGAGGGTAATGGATTGGAAAGCACCACGAACCTTCAAATTACTTACATATGAATTCCATCATTCCTTACTGCCTGAAGGGACACGTGTTCATCCTGTACTCACCCAAAGTGCTGGGGACAAAACTGATAATGCTAGTGACCTGCTGCCTGTTATTTTCTGATTGGTGCAGGACCAGCCCTGGTAGCTTCTTCTAATAAAGATTGAGTCTTTAGATCGGAGCCTGTCTCACCCTCACCAGACAATTCTGTCTCCCAGGACCTGATAATGTTTCAGAGAAGGTTGTGGGACATGAAAGCATCTCACAGATCCTAGGACAAAGAGTTGTGCATTATGCCTACTACTAGTAATAAGGCAGTACATTCATTTTCCCAGGTCATACGTTTTACTGTACTAAATATTAGCAAGCAAGAATGTCCTTGAAACAGAACTAATTTTTTTTTTAAGAGAGATTTTTGCTATAAGGAGTGTGCACTCGCTGGAGAGACAGAGAGACAGAAAGCAAGAAATCACCTCCCCACCCCCAGGAAGGATGGCCACGCTGCAATCCCTTCTCCTCCATTCTCCTCTCGGGATCTTGGGCACACATGCACACTCGCCTGACATAAATTTCAAGCTGCCGGGCCAGGGACTAGGAGTCCAGTCATGTAACCATTATGCCATCTATTGGTCCCCAGAACTAAATACTTAAAAAACTGTATTAATGACTAAATTTGACAGATACCAACTTTAATATATACATGTTTTTAATGTTCTAAATCAGTTTAAAAGTTTGAAAAGTGGGACCAGCAGGTGGTATAGTGGTTACATTTCTGGACTCCTACATGGCCAACTGCAGTTCGAGTTCTGGACCCACTGGCTTCTAACTCATGCTGGGTTCTTGTACGTGCATGCCCCAGATCCCAGGAAGAGAATGGAGAAGGGATTGTGGCGTGGCCATCCCCCCTGGGGGGTGATTTCTTGCTTTCCCTCTCACTGTGTCTTTCTCTCTCTCTCTGATGAGAGGCAAAAACCTCTTAAAAAAAAAAAAAAGTTTGAGAAATTCTGCCAAGAACAGAAATACATGAGCTTTCTTCTTTTTAAAAAAAGTTGCCAGAGGGCACATGTGCAGCTGAGAGAGAGAGAGAGAGAGAGAGAGAGAGAGACGGACAGAAATAAAAAGAGAAGGAGAGAGAAATAGAGAGAGAGAGAGAGAGAACGGTCATATGGCAATCCCTTCTCCTCCATCTCTCCTCCGTTTCAGGATTTTGGGCATGCATGTATACACATGCTCCGGGGTATTTTTCTAGCCACGGGTCCGGAACTTGAACCACATGGTTGGTTAGTGGGATCCAGCTGCCCTAACCAGCACACCACGAGCCGGCCTGTCCATGACCTTTTTGAAGTCACAGCATATCTTCATTAAAAATATGTAGAACCTCAAGCACTAATTGAGGTAAACAGTATCAGAGTAAAAGCAATTTATGGTTAATAATCTAGATCAACAGTTTAGTCGCAACTAACTATAGTGACTAACATTTACTGAGCACTGACTTTGTACCAAGTGACATTCTACAAACTTTTCTTAATTATGTCATTTAATCTTTAATGACCACCAGTCAATCTCTGGCAGGAAAAACACGTTATTCTACCTTCTAGTAAGGACAAAGGGAATAAGCCCTATCGCCATCACATTTTTTCGAAAGCTGTAACGAACAGCATTTCAACCAAACATGGATATGCCCCAAAACCAACTGTCCCTCATATGTTGTATACTTTTAAATTTGATCATTGTTGGGACCAGCAGTTAGCGTCATGGCTGTCACTGGACTCCCATGTAGTCGACCGCGGTTCACGTCCCGGACCCAGTGGCTTAAAACTCACGCCGGGCACGTGTGCATGCGTGCCCAAGATCCCGAGAGGAGAATGGAGGAGAAGAGACTGCGGCATGACCATCCCCCCTGGGGGGTGATTTCTCGCTTTCTGTCTCTCTGTCTCTCTCTGTCTGGCAAGCACACGTGCCCTATAGTGAAAACCTCTCCAAAAATAAAAAAAAAAAAAAAAAAAAAAAGGCAAACGAGACAGCCCCTGCCTTCAAAGAGTTCAAGTAAAAAAAAAAAATGTTCATTGTTTGAGTATATTTTTAAAAATGATTAAATTTATTTCTAAAGATCAAGGAAAAGTGTATTTTATGTACAGCAGGAAATACTTTTTAAGAATACTTGTTTGGGGGCTAGCAGGTGGTGTGGTGGTTAAGGTGCTGGACTTCCATATGGCTGAACGTGGTCTGAATCCTGGACCTGGAGGCTTGAAAATGTGACAGATGCGTGAGTATGTGCATGTGCGCCAGTATCCCAAGAGGAAAGTGGAGAAGGGACTGTAGTCTGGCCATCCTCCTTGGGAAGGTGACTTCTTACTTTCCCTCTCACTGTCTCTCTGGTGAGTGCACTCGCCCTATGACAAGGAGGTATAGGAATAGCTTCGCTCCCCTGCTAGAACCTCCAAACAAGCTCTCAAGACAGAAACGAAATCCTCTCGTTCCCAGTCTTCTATGTTTCTGTATATTAGAAAATTCTAGGTAAAATATCATCTAATTAGGCTACACTGAAAAAAAAAACAAAATGAAATGAAACAAAACCCCTATCTATCTATCTATAACATAAATATATATTGCAACTGGATACTGGTTATAATAGGGAGGAGCAAGCATTCGTACATCTGTCAGAGGTACTTAAAATATAAATGGCCCAGTAAATCTTCATAGTAAAGAGAGTACAAAAAGCAATTCTAGTTGTTTGTAGCAAGGTAGTAAGAAATTTAAAAAAGAAAATTCTTGTCTAAAACCTCTATCACAATTTTCTAACCCTGGAGACAGAGCCTCAATGCAGGACCAAGCAGGAAGGTTGTCAGCACCAAGCAACTCGATATTCTGCTTAGGTTCACACTGATCTCTACTCTGAAGGGAGCTGTTTAAGATTCAGGAGCTCTGCAGCACCAGGAACGTCTCCAGGCTGAGTCCCAGAGAAGTGTCAGGAGTATTTTAGGAAACTAGTAGTCTTAGAGACAAATCCCGGGATAGAAGCAGCAAAGGAAGTGGAATCAGACAGACTTGGTTTGAATCCTAACAGCAAATCACCAGCTGTCTACCAAAGAACCAGTCAATTAATTTCAGAAGTTCACTTTCCTCATTTGTTGAATGGTTTTGATACCTTGAGGTACTGTTGTACAGATTAGGGAACACACACATATATACATTCACACACACACAAAATACACTCCATCCAGTGGAGTGCCTAACATTTGGTAAATGGCAGAGCTACCATCAGGATAAGTTTTGTTCTGGAACTAAAAAAAAAAAAAAAAGCCCTATACTAACCCCATTCTGGAAACTAATATAATGGAGGTGCAGCACCACCACAGCTTTTCCAGGCTTAGGGCTGGATTTGTAATATCACCTGTACCCAACTAAAGAGTTATAAAATGAAAACTTTAGATATTAGGGAATGAAAACAATGCACAAATCAGGACAAGGAAAGGAAGAGTGAAGAGGCAGAGGCCTACACTTACGTCGTTCTTCTCTGTGCCTCTCGGTTTCTGCAAAGTACTGGCGGAGCTCTTCAGTGATTTCCATGTTGCTCAGGTCATACTCCACCTCCTCATCTGACTCACTTTCTGCCTCTTCTTCTTTGGACAAAGCTTGGTCTTCTACTGTGGATGTCTGGATCCTGCTGCTGTCATATGCGTGCTGCCCAGACCTTCTGAAAGCTGAGTAACTGCAGTGGGAAGGTGGTGGGGGCACGTGATGGGCACTGGACCCAGGATACCCAGCCTCATGACCATAAGTGCTATGGAGAACTGAAGGAGGGAAGTACCACGGGGAAGAGAAATAGGACTCCACGGCCTTCCTGTAGGCAACCTGGTGGCTTCGCATCCAAGCCATCGCTTGCTGATAATGTTGCCAGTATCTTGCATATACTGGATGAGAATACCACATGTGGGGAGCTTTTGATGTTGACGTCTGTAAAGTAAGAAGAGGTGTGAGGTAGACACCAAACAGTTCATCCTCAAGAGAAATCTTCAAATGTGTAATCACCTAGCCTACAGGCATTTACTGAGTATCTACCAAATACCTACTCTACACGAGGATGCTACTGGGTCAAAAGAGGTAGGTATGAAACAGGTCCATGGCCACAGTGGACAACAAGCGTGTACACACTTGCTCTCTACGTATGTGCACATGAAGTACACACAGGATATTCAGTTCAAGGTTATGAAGCATTAGAGTGTGGTTAATAATGACTATGTTTAAGTAAGAGCAGGGGAGATTAAAAACTCAAATGATTATCATCTTGACCCTCTCTACACATTGTAATTAAACCACCTGTTCAAGTAGAACATGGCATGAACTATGTGGACTGATGAGGATGACAGACTTTGGTCTTCCTCTTCTGCCCCCTAAACTAACCTGCTGACCATGCCCACTCCTCAATGCAAGGGAGGAGAGAAGTCCGGTAAGATCCCCAGTAGTGCTTTCAAACTTCTAGTTTTCTGATGGATTTCTTTGGTCATTTCCATCATGGAAGAACACCGAGACTTTAGAGACTAAAGTGGATCTTTTTCTTTTAATGAGTTAAAAAAGAAAATCTTACCTTTGCTGCCATCACGAATTGCCAAGTCTGAATGGGCACTGGACCTACAAAAGAATAGTGGGGGCTACTTTGTAGTTTGCCACCAGCTCCTGAGAGGGTGCCTCTCCCCAGAACCAAACCTGATTTTCATGCAACTTATCTCCAAGACCCGGGCACCTGGGGTATGACCTTGTGGTCTGAAAAGATGGGATTCCCTCAGGTATGACCAAGTGGGTCAAGGGACCCTGTACAGTTTCCATTCAATGATTTGTTCCCTTAGAAAAGTCTATGAAAATAGCCACATATTTAGTAGTCAGTATTACAAAACAATATAAAGTAAAAATTTACAATTTTTATTACCTCATTAATGCGCCAGTACCTATTTAAATGAGCCATGGGTTTTTCCTTTTTTCGACTTTTTTTTTGGAGAGGTTTTTGCTATAGGGCATGTGTGTTCGCCAGAAAGACAGAGACAGAAAGACAGAAAGCGAGAAATCATCCCCCCAGGGGGGGGATGGCCACGCTGCAATCCCTTCTCCTCCATTCTCCTCTCAGGATCTTGGGCACACACACATGCCCAGCGTGAGTTTAAGTCACCGGGTCCGGAACTTGAACTGCGGTCGACTACATGGGAGTCCAGCGACATAGCCATTATGCTAACTGCTGGTCACAGCCATGGGTTTTCCTGAAGCTGGAGTAGAATACATCTTTCCAAATGAGTGGAGACTTCTGAGAAGTCTCTTTAAGTAAGATATCTCTCCAGCCTCAGTTGTACCCTGGGCTTTAAAGTCTTCCAAGTGGGCCTTGTTGGGGTTGATTGCAATAAATATCCCCTAGCTAGTGTGACACCACACTTTTCTTGCCTAACTGCCCTGGGTCTTTCCAGCAGGAAGAGTAATTGTTTCATGAAGCCTATCCACTGAGGCACTGCATAGACTGCTTCTGCCAGACAGCACTGCTCTGTGGGGACTGACTCCCATCCCCACCACCCACTTGTGATGTACAGACTCGCTGCAAGAAATACCTGAAGGAAAAAGTTTAATCTGCAGCTGCATCTTTTACAATCTATTTCAGAGACTTTTTTTGGTTCAAGGGTTCAGAGCTATTAAAACGTCAGCCCACACTAGAATGTACTTTTTAAAAAGTTAAATAAAATAATATTCTAAAATGCATGAGGGTTTTTGCCATAGGGCACGTGTCCTTGCCAGAGAGGAAAAGTGAGAAATCATCCCCCAGGGGGATGGCCGTGCTGCAGTCCCTTCTCCTCTATTCTCCTCCTGGGATTTTGGGTATGCACATGCACCCAGTGTGATTTATCAAGCCACCAGGTATGGGACTTGAACTGTGGCCAGCCACGTGGGAGTCAATCACCTTAACCACCACGCCACCAGCTACCCCCAAGAATTTAGGCTTCTGTGAGCCACACCACTAACAACATGATACTGAACAAACAGCTATTTAGGTTTTGAAAGCTTGGCAATCACATACTGGAGTTCTATTGTTCGTACTTAACCACAGGGCAGCATTCTGAAACCTCCAAGCCTTAAAAAATAAATTTGACTTATTTTATGATCTCTATCATGTTTTGCTCTCATCTGGTTAAGAAACTGTGATGTTAAATTGACTACTTTTGTCATTTAAAATCAGCCTAAAGAGAACCGTTCACGTTCTTTTTATTTTTTTAAAGAATTATTTTTATTTTAACTTCATTATTATTATTTTCCAGTTTGATGTGAGAGAGAGAGCGAGCGAGCAAGCAAGTCACCAGGTTCAGGACTGTGGTTGGCCATGTGGGAGTTCAGCGCCTTTAATCACCACACCACCTGCTGGTCCCCACGTTTTTTAAAATATAGTAAGTTTTCAAATAGTTTATTTCTAAGAGGACTGATGTGACTATTTGTAAATTTATCTTGAGCACAGTCCATACTTCGTCCTCTGTCCTAAATTCAAGACTCTCTCTCTATCTATATATATAGTGAATGTAAACTGAAAGAAGGTAATACAGTGAAAATATAAGTGTGAATTAAGTTTGCATTACTTTGAAATGATAATAAAGGTTTAAAATGTGAACAATTACCTGAAAACCTAGGTCTGCTATATGTTTTCCAGGCTACTGAAGAAATATGACAGTCAATTCTCCAGTGGCTTACCATCCCGGGAAGTAAAACTAACACAAATGAAATTACAGGCTAAATCAGTAGGTACTTGAGTGCTAAACTGCAAGATGTAGCCTTTTAGTAGCTAATTCACTAGAGCTAGGTTTCATATTTCTAGCACTGAAATCAGAATAGCTTTCTGAGAGTCTGTAGCACATAATGACATTAGAGTGAACATGTGTCTTAATCAAATGTGTTTTACAGATTAACAAGCAACATAGGAATCAAACTAGAAAAGTCTGGGAGATAGGTGAGTGTCTTTTGGAAATTAAGAATTTTGAATCCAGACCTTAAAAAAAAAAAGAGAGAGAGAGAGATTTTTGCTATATGGTGTGTGCTCGCTGGGGAGAGAAAGAGAGAGAGACAGACAGACAGAAAGCGAGACATCACCTCCCGGGGAGGTGGCCACGTTGTAATCCCTTCTCTTCCATTCTCTTCTTGGATCTTTAGCACGCACACACTTGCGCCTGGTGTGAGTTTTACGCTACTGGGTCTGGGAACCGCAGCTGACCACGTGGGAGTCCAGCAACGTAACCATTCTGCAATCTACTGGTCCCAAATCCAGACTTCTTCCTATGCCTTATAAAACCTACTTACAGCCAGGTCAATGTAAATACCCATTATCTTGAAATTTGGAAGTCTGATCGCCTCAAATATATAATAAACATCACTGTGATTGGACACTCCTATTGAACAAATCCTGCTTTTATATATAATTGGGAAAATCCAGCCTGGCATTAAACAAAACAGCATTTGTCATGTGAAAACCCACCAGATGGCTAAGAGAGGCTCCACTTTGCAAAGGGAGAAGTTCAGGTGCTTGTGATAAAGTGTAAGCAGTTCAAGGGTAATCCATGATGTTCTTGGGGCTGCTCAAATGCCAATGGCTGGGGTTAAAACAGGGAGGGGACATTACCTGGAGGACAGTTTGTGTATGCCTTTGATTCAACAAATAATCTGGCAGGAGGAGGGCTGCCATGGTCTGTTGTCTCTGTGATCACGCAGGCCCTCTGAGCACTCGGGCAAGAAAGTGGCCAGAAGTGGACACAGTGACTGAGGAAGCTACTTCTAGCTCAGAGCCAGCAGCATTTGTCCAGCATGCCCACTGTCTATAAAATGTACCTGCTTACGAGCTAGGGCACTAGGCTCTCTTAAGACTGAGCCACTCAGAAAAGATAGCTTCATGGTAATGATGGAATGCACCTGTTGGTGACAATTTTGATTATGCTTTCCTCATAGTTGTGGCCACTGAGATACTTATTATCCAGCTTGCTGCGGTCCTCCAGCAAGTTTGGAACCCTGGAACTGAATGTCGAACAGGCTCAGCTCATCCCTGGCTTTAGTATTTCCTCTCCACAAATTCCAAAACCTGCTTGCCAATCATTTTACATTTTAAGTATTTTTAAGATTCCTAAATCCTATAGATATTGAAATTAATCAATTTGAATAATGAATCTGAATAATCACAAATTAATTCACCTCTCAAAAATCAAGTAAGATATAGAAAAACAGGTCAAATAGAAGAGCAACTCGCATAGAGCTTTAGAATTTTTTTTAAGCCCTAAACACCAAACCACCCTTTAAAAATGTCAAAATAATTCTTAGCTCCCTGGGAGTACAAAAAAACAAGCTGTGAGCCATCTTTTGCCCACTCTTTTGCCACTTAGCAACACATGACTAAGCTGCATAGCCTCTGCCCTTAATACGATGAGTGTCCTAACTATTCTTCACTTTCCACTTAGAAAGCAGTGGAGAAATTTCACAATTCTCACATTTTAAAAATGATCAGGCAGGGTAGACTGGCAGAAGGAAACTGTGACCATGACCAACAGCAATCTTGGTGACGATTCTTAACATCTGAGGCAACAAAATAGTCTCTCTTTTAAATAGTAAAATCGGACCATTTCTTAAAGATCTACATATACATTTAAAAACTTAATTAAAAACAAAAAATCTTCGGGACCAGCAGTTAGCATAATGGCTATGTCGCTGGACTCCCATGTGGTCGACCGCGGTTCGAGTTCTGGACCTGGTGGCTTAAAACTCTCGCCGGGCGCGTGTGCGTGTGTGCCCAAGATCCCAAGGGGAGAATGGAGGAGAAGGGATTGCGGCGTGACCATCCCCCCTGGGGGGTGATTTCTTGCTTTCTGTCTCGCTGTCTCTGTCTGACGAGCGCATGTGCCCTATAGCAAAAGCCTCTCCAACAAAACAAAACAAAACAAAAAATCTTCTGCACAACCAAATCAATTGACAAGGCCCAGAAAACATGCTGGGTAGGGTGATTTCTGACAGAGCCCCTGCTAGCTGCCATGCGCTAGACAGTAAAACGATGAGCAAAGCAGGCCCAGGTTGTGCGCGTCTCTACCTGGAACAAACACTCTCCCCTGCTAGGTGATGGGCTCAGCTGACAGCAGCTAACTCCCAAGGGAAGAGAGCCTTCCCTAAAATGGGTCCTGTTAACAATTTTAAGCTGGTTACTCTCTCTGCAGAGTAAGAATGCCTGGGCTTCTGAAAGGCCAATATTAAAATGCAGTGATTTTCGCAACACTTTCAGACACCACCACGCCTCAGAGAAGAAAAAGCTCATGGTTGCAGCAGATGTCAATGCCCTTCCGACGTCTTTACTTTTTATTAGTTATTCCCGACCTCCCTGTGAATGTCTCCTACTCTTTTGACACAAGCTTTTCTGGACTGAACAGCCACTTTTCTCCAAATGGGCTGGTGAAGCTGAAAGAAAAGAGATTGGCAATGTCAGGGCAGGTCAGGATCCACAGCTCTGCAGGCCAGGCAGCCCTCCCCGGCCAGCACAATGGCATCATGGTCACCACCCAGCTGAGCCCAGGCGAGTACAGAGACCATTCATTGTCTGTCCTCAACCACCAGAGGAAGGAAAAAAGCCAGGGTTGAGATCATTCACTAAACACTGCTGAGGCCTAGAGGCGAGACAGAGCCTCTGGGTCTCAAACGATGTATTTTCTCATGTAGACTCTCTAGAAAGACGCACTTACTCTTCAATGCAACTGCCTACCCTAGAGGATGTATTTAAAAAATGCATAAACATACGCGAAGAACAGACAAAAGTCCTGTAGTTGTCAATGGATAAAATGTGACTATCAGGTTACCTACAACCCCAGAAATAAGTGATTTGGCTTTCCTGAAAGGTAGCAACAGCTACAACCCCAGAAATAAGTGATTTGGCTTTCTTGAAAGGTAGCAACTACACATAGATCCCCAAAATAGCATATTTATATTCTTGTAAGTATGGGGTCTAGCATGTGCCACAGCAAGCAGAAAAATCAAATAAAAACACAAACTCCCCTTCAAAGTATTATGTATGCTCTGTAACTAGATTTTCCTCTATTTTCCTTTTCCACCAGAATTCTGAAAATGAAATACATGAAAACTCACCTGCTTTGATATGGGCATAAGCACACTTAAGTCAATCATGATATAAGTCATTTTGGTAAATCCCTGAAAGCCGAATTGTTCCTCTAAGGCTCCCATGGATTTCTTGATAGTTCTCTGGGCCAAGCAGACAGGGAGGGGATCTAATTAGGCCCTCAATACACACACCATTTTAAAGGGGGAGGGAAGGGGCTCTGCTGAAGGCAGCAGCAAAGTTCCGTGAGAAATCAGAATGACACAAATTGGGTCCTGTGTGGTTCTAAGGAATCTCTCTGCACACTCAACAACCACTCTCAGAGTCGTCTTCCAATAATAAGCGCACCTGGAAGAACTTCCTCAACTGTGATAAAGGACAAAATGGAGGTCTTTGAAGGCCCTGCTTCCTGCCTTGACCCCCAATATAGAGAGCTCTGCCCCCAGCCCTGGCTGGTTGCTGAGGCAGGGAAGCTCCTCAGGCTTGGTGGCTTCAGGGGCTCCCTCCTGTGGCTGTGCATGGTCCCTACTTGCTGATCAGGATATCAAAGATGGCTCAGGTTGAATGGCTTCCTCCCATTCCCAGGGAGGTCTTTGAAGGCCCTGCTTCCTGCCTTGACCCCCAATATAGAGAGCTCTGCCCCCAGCCCTGGCTGGTTGCTGAGGCAGGGAAGCTCCTCAGGCTTGGTGGCTTCAGGGGCTCCCTCCTGTGGCTGTGCATGGTCCCTACTTGCTGATCAGGATATCAAAGATGGCTCAGGTTGAATGGCTTCCTCCCATTCCCAGGAGTATAATGCCATCTTTTTTTCTTTAATCGTTTGTTTACTTACTTACTTACTCACTTATTTATTTACTTGTTATGATTTTTGGGCTACTTGGTCTTGAATTGGCTGGGCATGTGAGAGTCCAGCACCTCAACCACCACCCACCTGCCAGCCCCCCAGCTCCATCTTTTGGCCAGACGCTACAAGTGCACAGGCCATTCTGTTCAAAAAGCCTGCAACTCCCTGTGGAAAAGAGTCACCGTTAAACTGAGTTAAAACGGGGGCCAGTAGATGGACTCCCACATGGCCAACCACAGTTTGAGTCCCAGACCTGGTGGGTTGAAACTCACGCTGGGTGAGTGTGTGTGCGTGTCCAAGATCCTAGGAGGAGGAGGAGAGAGAAGGGATTGCAGTGTGGCCATCTCCCCTGTGGGGGTGATTTCTCATTTTCCCTCTCACTGTTTCTACCTCTTTCTCTCTCTGGTGAGTGCATGTACCCTAAGGTAGAAACTTCTTAAAAAATAAAATAAGTTAATACAATTTCAAGGGTATTTTCGATTCATCTGATCTTTGATCAACTACAGTTATGCTTTTTATACAGTCCAACCGTTCCACGTCTGGAAGCAGTTCCGAGAGTTCTATGCTTAGTTTGTAAACTCTCCAATTTACTCTTGCCTTTGCTGTTCACCTTTCCCATCTACTATTCTTCTCATCTCACCCTAACCTTAAATGCTGAATCCTAAAATAAATCACAATTATCTATAAAAGTTTTCAAATGAAAATGTATCTGAACGTTAGTTTGTATACTTCCCCAGGGCAGCAATGAACAGGCAGAGGGGTTTACACACCTTACTGTGAACTCCTTCCGTTATGCTTATCCAAAGTTACTAACCAAACATCTCTTAAAATAAATGGCTTCCGTTCACACTGCCATCTCAAAGGGACTGTTACTCTGATAACTACCAGTATAAACTTTATTTTTAAATGGTAACACCCATTCCACAATTCCTGGGAATGTGAGAGTATATAAGCTCAGAAGGGCTGTGCTATTTTCTTTTCATGGTGAAAAGCGGCTCAAGTAGGGCCAGTGGGTGGTTTGGTGGTCAAGGTGCTAGATTCCCACATGGCTGACTATGGTTCAAGTCCTGCACCTGGTGGCTCTCTCTCGTGCTCTGTCTCTCTTGGGTGAGCATGCAGGCCCTATAGAAAGTTAGAAAATAATAACAATAGTAATAAAGTTAAATAATTCTGTAAAAAAAAAAGAAAAAAAAAAAAGGAAAGAAAAACAGCTGAAGCAGAACTTTCCCTGTCAAACAATTTTAAAAATCATTCCTGAGGGGCCAGCAGGTGGTGGTAATGGTTAAAGGCACTGGACTCCCACATGGCTGACTGTGGTTCAAGGCCCAGACCTGGTGGCTTGTTTTCCCACTTTCTCTCTCTGATCAAAACAGGAAAATAGTATTAGTAATAATACATAGTTAAATAATTCTTTTAAAAAATCATTCCCGAAAAAAAGTAAATGGCTCAGAACTATAGGATTTGTACTAAGAGACTCTTTGGATTTCACAGCTAAAGGGCACTTTGTTGGACATGGGTTCAACTCCACTTCATTACTGACTAAAAAAATCAGGGCAAAACCATTCTCCAACTCAATAAGAAAGGGCCATAAACGCTCACAGGTGCCAAATGTTCTCAAAATAACTTCCACCCCAAGCTCTGAACTCCCACCCGTCAAAGTCTAAGGGAAAACAAACAAACAAAAAACCCCAACTTTTGAGTGGAGAGGCCATTACCCTAGACATCTCTCCGAGGGGAAGGCTGTCTCGGGCGATCTCTTTTATTCAGATACCAGCTGGAAGGGCAAAATCCAAATTCACCTCACAGACCTTACAAGAGGCTCTCGGCACATCAATCACCTGGGGGCTTTAAACAGACCCCGATGCCTGGGCCCCACTTCCAGGGTTTCGGATGTAACCGGTCTGGGGTAGGAGCCCGGGCATCCTTATTCTTGAGTGGCCGGGCGGGGAAGCAGCGTCTCCCTGGCTACCCGGCACTGACCCCTTTCGGAACGCCGGGGCTTCGGCCGCGGGGCGAGGGGCACCAATCCGACGGCGTTACCACCGACGCCTCGGCTCCCGCACCTCAGCGGAAGCCAGGCCCTTCCTCAGTCCCCGAAGCAAACCCGCCGCCCCCGAAGTCACCTCGTGGGCGCGCAGGCTGCAGATCCTGGGCGGTGGGCGAGCGGGGGCCTACTTTTCTTGGGAGAGACCGGGGGTGGGAGTAGGGAATGTGGCTGTTGCCCGGGCGACGAAGCGCGCGCTTCCGGTGTCGGTTCACGTGGGAGCAGAGCGCGGAAGTCCCGCCCGCGGCGCTAGAACTGGGGGCTGCCGGGGGCCGGGGCCTGGGGCGCCGCGGGGAGCGGGTGGCGGGCCGGGAAGACGGGGAAGACGGGGACTGCTGCAGGACTGTCGTCCCCGGCCTTTAACTTGTCGCCCTTCTCTCAGCTTTGGTTCGTTTTTATTTTCCCTCCCTTTTCCTTCCTTTCTTAACTAAGGTGGACGGTGGTTGTGGCCCAGGGGAAACGCCCAGGCTTTGAACACAGATCTTGAGTTGGAGTGCCATTTCAGTACTTAGCTTGTCATACCCCCTCGAGCCCCTAGTTTGTCACCTATAAGATGTGCACAGTGCCTGGTGCATGCAAGAAATAGGACCCATTGATAGTTTTGTCTCTACACTACTACGCAGCAGCGCCTGCCCGTTAGCGACACAGTTATTAATAAACTGGCTTGAACCACTAAGTCTAAATGGCGTGTTCATTCTGGGGAATTTGGCAAAATGAGGCAAGAGCCCTAACAGGGGCTTCCTTTCTGGGAATTTAATTTAAGCAAAAATAGGCATGAAATAGATATTTTAAATAAAACAACCTAAATGCGCAATAAGATGAAGTGGCTAAGTCAATTACACAATGTCAATGGTGTGAACGTCATATCGTGTTGTTCCTATACTATAGGAGAGTCAAACTTGTATTAAAAAATAACTTTATTTTTAAAATATGTACTGATGCCCAACACGTGGCAGGAAAATGATCTGCACTGAGGT